GGGGGGGGGTTGGTTACCGATGACATGGGCTAACGACAACGATGGGTGGTATGGAGAACGAAACAACAGTGAAACAACAATGAAACAACAAGGGGTTGCAACGGGGAGCGATGTCACTGGGTGCGAGGGGTTTCAATGGCGTAGGGTCTGAGAATAATAAAATTGATTTATGTTGTTTTTCTCCTTAAAACATTTTAGCCCATTTTTTTTTGTAAGGGTGTCCGGGCCAACGCCCGACTAATCCTCGGCAATTTTGGAGGCTAAACATGGCCCCACTTAAATGTCGCCAACACTCCCCTCCTAGGGCTCGAACTTGGGTTCATGACTATGTCATGCCCAAGCCTTTACTACTAGGCTGGAAGGTCTTTGACTTTAGCCCATTATTGGTAGATATTTTGGGTTAAAATAATCTAGGTAACCAATATTTAAAAGTTTAATGATTTATTTATTTAAAAAAATATATAGGAACTTGATAATTGAAAATGAGAAACTTCAATAATTTTTTTCTTTCAAAACAATATAGAAACTTAATCATTTAAAATAAAAAATTTATTAGAATTTTCTAAAGTTGCCATTATCAAAACTTGATATAGTTGTTATTTAATGTAATGATTCTTTTTCTCCATCGTTGTTACCATATTTCCTATTTTATACTCATTTACTAATTAAACCAATTTTCAGCCTACAAAAATGTAAAATGAAGTGAATTAAAATCCTAGTTTTTAACAAAAAGAAGATTTAATTAAACTATAATCTATCATGTGAATCCACGTAATCAGTTTCACAATACGATCCTTCACATCATCTAATTTTACAAAAATAGTATGTTTCACAAAATAGAAACTATCAAAGTCTATTATATTGATTGAGTAAAAAAATATTTTATTATAATAAAGGACGGTTTACCTAAACATTTACCCAGTAAGTGTTTAACAGTAAAATTCAACTCTTTAGTCTATCAAAACGACATCTTATACAACAATTTACCGGATAAGCGTTAACTGTGGTAAGAGTCGTCATCATTACTTACCGGGTAAGATTCTCGATCATTGTCTTCGCTCTTACTAGATAATATCATTGGTTCTTGTCATACTCATCCGTTAAATAAATGTGACTTGGTAAACCTTACCCGAGTAAGAATTTTGTAAACGACCCCTAATTGTTGTATTTTGAATAAGTTTGTTGATAAAAATATTAATACTGGTCCTCCAACCAGAGATGACCAAATTGTATCCTCTCCGGCATGCGACTGAGTACAAGTTTTACAAAATTTCAAAGTCTGGTCCAAGACCATTTATAGGATCGGGATCTATTATTTATAGGACCGATTTTTCAAAAAGACTTATTTTTTTATAAATTATAGTAAAGATCTTTTTTACAAGATTTAAGAAAAATTTAAGATCAATGTTCAATTTCAAAAATCATAACTATAAAAACGCGTATAGACAAAGGATCAATGATAAAAGTTAAAATAAAAAGTGTAAGAAGAAATCTGATTACTTTTAATGTCACCTTCATTTCATGAATCACATTTGAATTGATCTATATATCTCATTGCTGTTGATATTCAATTAAAATTGAAATAAAAATAACATTATCGAAACCCAACCGACAAGTCCATAACTGCCCGTTTGGGCTTCTCCTTTCCTTTCGACCCAACAAACAGCAGCCCACATTGCTGCTAATATATTCCTTTTTGATTTGACCCATTTGCTGGTTATTCTTCTTCACAAAGCAGCAACCATATCGGCCATTGACAAACGACGAAGCTTTGAGATTTACAGGTTTTGATTCGATTATCTTTTCTACTTTCGGTTCCTAAAATTACCTTAAACTAATTCTATTACTTTCTGCTTCTTGCATTTCTTAATTTTCTTATGTTGACCATCCCCTAATCGTTAAAATTTTCGTTTGTTAATGTCGATTTACGACTCAAATTTGGCAAAGAGAAAAAAATCAGGGTTAAGTGTAATGGTTTTAGGTTATTTTAGTGTATGTAAATGTATTTGTGTTAGTTTTATGTGCATCCGTCTTATTGTGGCATTGTATGTGTAATTTGTTAGATATACTACAATGTTAACTTGGTGTTATATTTGCATTTTTGTTTTGTAAAGCATTTTGTTCATTACATTTGAGTGTATATCATATTTTATTTAATTCATAATTTAAATTCTTTGTTGACGATCTCTACAGAAATCTTGGTAATTCTCGCTTCCCCGCCTAATTTTCTTTGGTTTTCGACCTGATACTACATTCAGAATCCTGCAAGTTGGTTCAAAAGTATGATTTCTTCAAAGTATGCATTTGGTTGTCATGCTCATGTTGTGAATCAAATCTTGGCTGCAATCATCCAAAACCGTCCATTTGACTCGCATCTTGCTAATTCATCCTCGTTAAGCCATCAGTTTTCAAACCAACCATGGGCAACCAAACTGATCACTGAGGTCCTAAGATCCATACCGAGATACTTCTTCCAATCCACAAGATCCATTGGCTGTCAAAGTGGCTCCAGACGCCGAGCTCCTCTCAAACAAAGAAACCTTCATGAGGAATCAATTAAAATTCACAAAGGCGTGATTATTCTTGGCCCAGGTGCTTACAGAGACCCACAAAAAGTAAGGTTAGGATTGGACAAAGCTCTTGAGTTTTATTACTGGGTTGAGTCTGAATTTGGGTTCGATCATAATGAAAGGACTTGTAGAGAGATGGGTATTGTTTTGGCTAAAGGAAATAGATTGGAAGTTCTTTGGAACTTTCTAAAGCATATGACAAGAAGAAGTAGTGGTGGGCTAGTTACAACCGAGACCATGACCTGTTTGATAAAAGTTCTAGGAGAAGAGGGGCTGGTAAATGAAGCATTGGCTGCGTTCTACAGGATGAAGCAATTTCACTGTAGACCGGATGTTTACTCATATAATACAGTAATTTCTGCGTTATGCAAAGTTGGCAACTTTAAAAAAGCTAAGTTTTTGTTCGAGCAAATGGAGTTGCCGGGATTTAGGTGCCCACCTGATACTTTTACTTATACAATTTTGATTAGTTCTTATTGTAAACATAGCCTACAGACTGGGTGTAGGAAGGCCATCAGGAGGAGAATGTGGGAAGCTAACCACTTATTTCGGATCATGTTGTTTAAGGGTTTTATGCCAGATGTTGTAACATATAATTGTTTGATTGATGGCTGTTGCAAGACTTACAGAATTGAGAGGGCTCTAGAATTGTTTGATGATATGGTTGAACGGGGTTGCTTCCCTAATCGTGTTACCTATAATTCATTCATAAGATACTATTGTTCGACTAACGAGATTGATAAGGCTATTAAGATGTTGCGAAGGATGCAAGAATTAAATCACGGATTACCCACTACGAGTTCCTATACCCCTATTATCCATGCCTTTTGTGAGGCGGGGAAGGCATTAGAGGCATGGGATATTCTTGTTGAATTGGTTGATAAAGGGTCAATACCGAGAGAATATACTTATAAGTTAGTCCATGGAATGCTAAAATCAGTAGGGAAAAGGGATTTATTAGATGATGAACTTTGTGAGAAAATTGAGGAGGGTATCAAGAATAGATATAAGCAAGTAATGAAAGTGAAACCCATTATGTATGTGAAACCTCAATTTACTATGGGTGATCATAACTGTGATTTGGAGTAACAGGAAGTTCTCTTAAAGCCTGTTTGTTAGCAACTTAATGAGCTTAATGGGACTAATAGCTTATTCGGTCAGTTATACATGACTGTATGGTAGTGGCTTAATGATATAGAAAGTGGTTTATTCCGTAAGCTTCTAGGAGGAGCTTTATGCAGAAAGCCAAGTTTTTTCCATATCCTCTCCCAATTGAAAAACACATTCCTTTCATCTATGAAAAGACCCCAAAGAAATCTATACAGACAGATTAATCCACACAGACATCTTGATCCATATAGGACCTAATGGAAAACCAACTAAGCAGTATTGCTGTTTTGAAGTATCACTTGCATCTGAATGAACTATGACAAAGCGTGTCCCTGTTGCTATCAGAGCAAAATATGCTGTTTGTTTTGTATGCCAAGGTATGTTATTACATATTTATTACTTCTATCTCAATGCTCAATTTCTGCTGATGAGCCTTAAACCTCTACTGCTGGATGTCAAGTACAACTCTTTAATTTGAAATAAGAACATTAATTTACCATCTTGTTACATGGAACATTTTTTGACTCATTTTAACATAATGTGAAGAAAATATGATGTTTATTTGACATAAGAACTTTAATTTACCATCTTTTTACATGGAACACTAGAAACTTTTTGGCTCGTTTTAACTGAATGTGTAGAAAATTGGATGTTTTTATGTTTACACCTACGGGTGAACATGGTACGGTACCATGGTTTTTCGCTATACCGTATACCAACCAATTTGCAAATACTTATACCGTATACCAACCAATAATACTTAGTACTAACTTAATTAGCACCAACTTTTTTCGGTTGGTATGGTCTTGTACCAACATCGCAAAAGTTAAAGTTACACATCTATACTATCTTATAATGCAACACTTTCAGTTTTCTTGAATTTTTATGAGGTACTGTTTATCTTCAAAGCTACGCAACCTACAACACACCTTCCCCCTTTAACTACTCACCCGCACCTTTCCTCCAAAACCGGGTTTCACTTCCCATGCCCCTCAATAAGTCTCGGCTATGAATATTCAAGCCCTATGACTAGCTTACAAGAACAAGGAATCTAAGGTCGGGTGCGGTATGAAACCCTAGAACCAAACTCCAAACCCCTATCTATGTCTCAATAGGGAGTCCTTGGTTTCAACCTAAAATAAAAATCTAACCCCCAGAGTTTCTTCACACAAATTTTTTGTTTGGTTTTTCTTTTCATCATTGATATTTAAGGCAACGAATGGGGTAGTTATCTAGTAGTTCCTCATTTGCAACGGACTTGGGATGAAACCTCTCGACCCAAATATAAAATATTCTTCTCAATGAGAAGATAAAGATGAGAGATTAACCAAAATTGACGATTTGATTCGGGAATCGGCCATGGGATCATCCTAACGTCATAGTTGGTACAGACAACTCTTTAAAGAACAAAGATGCCGAGTCAATTTCAAGTTCTTCGGGTTTAAGGTAAGTCTCTTTTTCACATTTTGAAGGAATTAGTTTAGATTCATATATATAAAGGGTTTTGTTCACGTGAGACTAGTCTGTTTTCGTGAGACCCGTGAAACCACTTTTTTACACTTGAAATTTCACAGAAAAACGCTGTGAAGGTAACCTTCACAGTATTTTTGCTGTGAAGGTTCGGCTTTTTTTTACCTTCACTGCATTTTGCTGTGAAGTTTCAAGTGTAAAAAAGTGGTCTCACGGGTCTCACGAAAACAGACTAGTCTTATGTGATCCCAAGTCTCTCTCTCTCTCTCTCTCTCTCTCTCTATATATATATATAACCTTCACACTTCACAGTGTTTTTGCTGTGCAGATTTGGCTTCTTTTTACCTTCACAACATTTTGTTGTGAAGTTTCAAGTGTAAAAATCGTGTCTCACATGTCTCAGGAAAACAAATTTGTCTCACGTGAACCCAACCCTATATATATACATGTATATATAGTCCCCTCATTTGCAATGCACTTCGGGGAGCCATGGTTGATACTCAGCCGATGTTGATCTCCAAGGAGATTCTTTTTATTTATTTATTTATTAACCTGGATATCCAACCCGCTATGCGAGCCGACTAATCCCAGGGCAACCACCTGCAAACTTTGCAGATAGCCCGGAGTCACCGCATTTGAACCTCCGTGGCCACAAGAGGATTTTTATTTCTCATTGGATTTGAACCTAGGACCTCCAGGTGCTTTTGACCTTTGGAGCCAAGTTCAAACCAATCAGACACCACCCTTGGACCCAAGTCCAAGGAGATTCCAAACAGGTATAACTCGACTTCTTCAAAAAATGCAAGTGTTCTTGAATTAACGATGTGTGCCCCACTTCAGTGATCAATCTTCATGCAAAGCTCCATTATCATGGCAGATCTAAGATATTACTTGTAAGAACATCAAGAACACATATATGAATATTAAGAGAAAAGGTCAACACAAGATTTATTAGTCAAACCTCTATTACGTATCTTGAATATTACAATAAGCTCTCTTACACTACAATTACAAAGACAAACTCCTATTTATATGGTCAAACTACTAAACATAGTCAAAGTCAAACCTGTCTAAGAAAAGTCAAACACGATGACTTTTACAATTATAGACAATATTTAACTTTCAAGACGAATACAATTTAATACTGATTTTCAGTCCTAACATTCTCCACCTTTGTATTCAGACTTGAAAGAAATTCTGCACTTTAAGTCCTGTTTGAACTTTGAATCTTTAAGCACAATATGTCATCTTCAAAAGAAATCTTCAACTTGAAATCATTAAGCAATCAACTGTTGAGAAAGATCTTCCAGCATTCTCCCCCTCGAATGTAGAACTGCAGTGATCTTCTCTTTTGACAATCTAGAACAGTGATTGTCAGAAACAATGTATAAGATTTGATCTTCAAAGGATCTTCAGAATTAATCTTCAGTAAACTATTATAAAGATGATCTTCACATTCAATATCTCTCAGTTGTTGTAGCACATGAAAAATCTTTCTGTAATCATCTTCAGTCGCGCTTCTTTTGAGTCTTTTGCCACTTTCGAAGTTACTCCCCCTTGATCTTTGCATCAAATCCCCTTTAACAATGTTCGGAAATGAATATTTCATTCATTATTACATATACTCCCCCTTATGATGAAATGAGAATCATTCCATCATACATAAGATGAATGAAATTTTCCATGTAAGCCGTCAAWTCAAGAAACTGTAAGTAGATCTTTGCAAATCCACTTATTTAATCTTTTCAGATTAAGGGAATGGGAAGATAACATCCAATTTCAACATATGAAATTGTTTACAATCTTATAAAAAGATTGGCCTGTGAGTATAACAGATATACTCAGTACAACGGATGTACTGTATATATGAGAMTTTTTGATGTTCATCTCACCAGGTCTTCCATTCAATCATTGATAGCTAAAAAATAGCATATTTATGAATGTTTTGGCAAATTAACATATAAAATGTTAAATTTGTGTAGTGTAAAAAAAATAAAGCAACTTATGCTTCTGTTTAGGCTCAAAAAGATAAATCGTGTGGACTACACAAATTTATCAGACTCAATATGTGATCAAAAAGACTTGAAGGGGGGACATATATCCTTCTGA